GTTAGAAGAATGGCATCTATGCTAATATTAGTCTGTTTCTCTCTTATTCCGAGGTCACCGTAGCCAACAGATCCAGTCTGTATTCAGATCAGATGGTGACTGCATTCACCCGGATTCAGTACGTATCCAGACCAGATGGTGGATCAGCTGCTAGAGAGGACCTCTACAGCCCTGAATGTCAGCGGAGATCAGGACAACTAGATGAGCCCCAGATACAGATCCCCAGTGAAGACCTTGTCTCAGACGGCCACCGGGACAAGACCACAGGAACCAGATGAGTCCTCTGCACAATCTGACTTTGCTGCAGCCTGGAATTGAACTGCTGGTCTCGTCTGGTCAGAGGAGAACTGGCCTCCGACTGAGCCTGGTTTCTTCCAAGGTTTTTTCTCCATTCTGTCACCGATGGAGTTTTGGTTCCTTGCCGCTGTCGCCTCTGGCTTGCTTAGTTGGGGACACTTCATTTCCAGCGATATCGTGGACTTGATTGCACAGATACTATTTAAACTGAACTGAATTCAATAATGAACTGCCTTTAACAGTAGTTTAGAGTGTTTCTCCAGTAAAGCTCTTTCAGTGTAACAGCTTCAGCTGGAGCTTCTCGTGTCAGATCTGGACTGATTTTGATCAAGTAAAGGTCAGAATAACTGCAGTAATATCTCCAGATGAACACTTACTGCACTGAAGCAGCTCAGCTTTACTTGATTCTCCATCAATCATGTTTTAGAGTCTCAAATCTGATCCTCAGGATCTTTTGAGGAGCGTTTGTTTCCAGAAGCTTTACTTTCACTGTTCCTCAGCGGAGGAATGATCTTCACAAGCCTCCAGAACATCTCACATCTTCTGAGGAGCCTTTATTTCTTCAGCTCTCAATCACTGCATTATATGTTTGGAGCATTTCACTCTCATCTTATTATTGCTGGAGATACAGAGCCACGACTAATATTTAGAGCATTTAATATCAGTATCTGCTGCACTGTTAGAAAGCTCTCACTGATATATATATATATTTCTGACTATGATTTGATATGTCAGGCTTTACAGGATTAAATGAATCTGACCAGCACATTATTGCTCTTATCGCTGCTTAAACGGAGGAAAACGATTCTAAACTTCCAGACTGGTTGGTTGATGTTATGATATGTATAATCTGTTATGATGAGATATTATTGCAGCTCTTTTGTTCTGATCCGAGCGGGGGCGCGCACACGGGCACGCGCAGCTGTGAGCGGCACAAAGAGCATCTGAGACGAGTTACTGTAAATACTGTAAATACTGTACATCTCCATCACCACAGAAACATGCAGAGAAATCACAGCGGCTGACAAAAGCTAGTGCTGCATGACCATGTAGCCTGAATATAATATCGGGTGGCTCTGACAGCAGCATGCAGTGTTACAGTAACATCAGCACTGACAGCAGTATACAGCACTGTTACTGTTTCACGAGCCTCTCGTGTCAGCGGATCTCACAACAACAGACAACCGTCATGTTTGACAGAAACAGAGAGATTGTGTTCCGAATCAATCACGACAAACACCGACAGACAGAGAAACACAAACCCACCGTCACACCCGCATCCCGGTGAACAACGCCTTCATCCTCCTCCTCCTCCTCCTCAGTGTTGCCCACCGGTCTCTCTCTCTCTCTCGCGCTCTCTCTCTCTCTCTCTCTCTCTCTCTCTCTCACACACTCACACACACAGACACACTCTCTCTCTCTCTCTCTCTCTCTCTCTCTCTCAGCATATTTGTCCCGTTACCGGAGAACAATGAATCGCAATGTGCACGAGTGATGTCATAAGAATCAGTTTTTCAAAATTACATCATCTGAAAGCTTTCCATTGATGTATGATTTGTTAGGAGAGGACAATATTTGAAAATCTGGAATCTGAGGGTGCAAAAAAATCTAAATATTGAGAAAATTTCCTTTATAGCGACAAAAGTTGTCCAAATTAAGTTCTTAGCCTTAACAATATACCTGTGTAAGTACATGTAACTTGTAACAAGGGGTGTGTGTGTGTGTGTGTGTGAGTGCGTGAGTGTGTGTGTTGTTTGTCTGTGGTTCAGCAGATGTGATCTAACAGATGACTGTTTTTCTCTCATCTATATGAAGATTAAAATCTGTTGACCTCTTTTCCTCTAATCCCTTTCTTTCATTGTGTCCTTCACTAACAGACTGCTGTGTAATTAACCGAGCATTTCATTAAAGTGTGTATGTGTGTGTATGTATGTGTGTGTGTGTGTGTGTGTGAGTCTGTGTATGTGTGTTACTCACCGGCCGTCTGTCTGTCTCTGTGTGCAGATCATCATCATCATCGTCTGTCCGTCAGGATCATGTGAGATTCACACTCAAACTCCTCTGGATTTTCTCAGGATCTGCGTTTCCCTCTTCATTCTGTCTGTACAGGAACAATGATCACTTCCTCTCGCACACACACACACACACACACACACACACACACACACACACACTCACTCACCTCAATACAATCTGACAGCAAATGCTCTTAATGTGTGAACGCACCATTAACAACTTAAATCCAGTGAAAACTTCACACAAGCACAGAATGCTCACAACTCAGACACACACACAGGTTTGGCTTTGCCGGTCTATTGTTCATATTTCCTGTTTTCTAACCTCATATCTGAGTGTGTGTGTGTGTGTGTGTGTGTGTATTTATTATTATTATTGTGTGTGTCCTGTACTCTCTCTCTCTCTTTGTCCTAGTGCAGCAACAGGAAGCAGCTCTGACTTACTGCTCACACACACACACACACACACACATTGTGTTTGATATGAGATCATCAGTGACTGTTCTAATTTAATGGAGAGATGCAGTGAGTGTGAGGCTGTGTGTGTGAGTGACTGAGTGAGTGAGTGTGTGTGTGTGTGTCTGTGAATGTCTGTGAGTGTGTGTGTGTGTGAGTGTGTGTGTGTGTGTCTGTGAATGTCTGTGAGTGTGTGTGTGTGTGTGTGTGAGTGTCTGTGTGTGTGTGTGTGTGAGAGTGTCTGTGTGTGTAAGTGTCTGTGTGTGTGTGTGTGTGAGAGTGTCTGTGTGTGTAAGTGTCTGTGTGTGTGTGTGTGTGAGAGTGTCTGTGTGTGTAAGTGTCTGTGTGTGTGTGTGTGTGAGAGTGTCTGTGTGTGTAAGTGTCTGTGTGTGTGTGTGTGTGAGAGTGTCTGTGTGTGTAAGTGTCTGTGTGTGTGTGTGTGTGAGAGTGTCTGTGTGTGTAAGTGTCTGTGTGTGTGTGTGTGTGAGAGTGTCTGTGTGTGTAAGTGTCTGTGTGTGTGTGTGTGTGAGAGTGTCTGTGTGTGTAAGTGTCTGTGTGTGTGTGTGTGTGAGAGTGTCTGTGTGTGTAAGTGTCTGTGTGTGTGTGTGTGTGAGAGTGTCTGTGTGTGTAAGTGTCTGTGTGTGTGTGTGTGTGAGAGTGTCTGTGTGTGTAAGTGTCTGTGTGTGTGTGTGTGTGAGAGTGTCTGTGTGTGTAAGTGTCTGTGTGTGTGTGTGTGTGAGAGTGTCTGTGTGTGTAAGTGTCTGTGTGTGTGTGTGTGTGAGAGTGTCTGTGTGTGTAAGTGTCTGTGTGTGTGTGTGTGTGAGAGTGTCTGTGTGTGTAAGTGTCTGTGTGTGTGTGTGTGTGAGAGTGTCTGTGTGTGTAAGTGTCTGTGTGTGTGTGTGTGTGAGAGTGTCTGTGTGTGTAAGTGTCTGTGTGTGTGTGTGTGTGAGAGTGTCTGTGTGTGTAAGTGTCTGTGTGTGTGTGTGTGTGAGAGTGTCTGTGTGTGTAAGTGTCTGTGTGTGTGTGTGTGTGAGAGTGTCTGTGTGTGTAAGTGTCTGTGTGTGTGTGTGTGTGAGAGTGTCTGTGTGTGTAAGTGTCTGTGTGTGTGTGTGTGTGAGAGTGTGAGTGTGTGTGTGTGTGCCTGTTCTGGTATATATGGTTTATGAGGACACTTCCTGTGTCCCAGTAAACCCCGTATAGTAAAATATAACTCAATTAATTTGCTGCGCTGTATCATCGTCCGAGTTTGCTAACGGTGGTTTAATGTGGTTTTTTGTCCATACATGTAAAGACAATGTTATTTGGCTCACGCATTCTTCAAAATATCTTCTTTCATGTTCCATAGGTTTGGAAAGGCAGAATGATCCTTTTTTGGATGGATTATTCCTTTAAGCAAAGACATGCGCATAAACAGAAAGATTCAACATGATCTTTAAAAACAGTCTGAAACAAGAGCCAGAATTGACTGAGACTCCAAACAAATGGTGTGTGTGTGTGTGTGTGTGTCTGTGAATGTCTGTGAGTGTGTGTGTGAGTGTGTGTGTGTCTGTGTCTGTGTCTGTGTGAGTCTGTGAGTGTCTGTGAGTGTGAGTGTGTGTGTGTGTGTGTGAGTGTGAGTGTGAGTGTGAGTGTGTGTGTGTGTGTGTGTATGTGAGTGTGTGTGTGTGTGTGTGTATGTGAGTGTGTGTGTGTGTGTGTGTATGTGAGTGTGTGTGTGTGTGTGTGTATGTGAGTGTGTGTGTGTGTGTGTGTGTGTGTGTGTGTGTGTG